TAGTAGTAGTAGTGGTGGTCGTAGCACAGAAGCAGTAGCAGCCACGATGGTTGCCATTTTTGAGAATGGCCACAGCCTGCAGTATCATCACCACGAGTACGCCTGTGGGTATGAATATGACCGCAGATGCGGCCGAGACGGCGAGGACCTACACGGCGACAGGTTTACGCAGTGGCTAGGTTGACAATACTACAAGACCTGGTCATGGTCGTAAGGATGCAGTAGTAGTTGTCGTCCTTGTTGTTGTAGTGGACAGTTGCTTACGGCTGTTCGGTTTCAGGCCTCTTGTCAATGCTAGGAGGCAGGGAAGGGACGAAGCTCCCAGCTCAAGTCCGATAGCCCTATAGGTAGCAACACTTTCTGCTGCTAAACCCAGCCATACTGGGACCCTGTAGCATTGAAAGACTCTCGAGTGGGTGACAGTTGGGCAGCTCTTCAGGAGCTGGGGCGACGCACAACGAAACTCTTCTGTGCTTTCGGGCTTTCGGTTCCAACCCACCAGCTGGCACCAGCCCTAAACCAAGTGAACCCCTATTGAAGTCTACATCTCAAACCACCAGGGCCCGTCAACCTCAAGCACCTTGCCGAATCACTCAAACTGGAGTCCCGCGTCGTTGAGGCTTCTCAACGGAGCCGTTGGGAGCCCGGTTCATGTAGCAGGGCTTCGGGCTTGAGGAGCACATGGTGTGAGCCGCCAACTCTGCACTTCGCGGTGTAGGCAAGCAGTTACGTCAAGTCAGCGAGGCAGTGTGCGGCATAATTCAGGATGCCTCATGCAGTTGTCCGTGCTTTTCACCAGCTTGCGGCCGTGCGAATCCGTGATCGCAGCAGAACGACATTTCGGGTTTGCCCGGCCATTAAAATTGCAACTCTCGCTACTACTACTACCCCTGCTCCTGTTATGGGCTGGCTGCTGGGCCCTTGCCTTTGCCATCCTGCTGATCTGCAAGATTTCTGCTTCGGAACAGGGACAATGGATTTAGCTTTTACAAGATCCACCCACTCTTGGCAACGAGCCAACCTGATGCTCTCGCACTGGCCGTTGAACCGACGACATCTCTGAAGATGAAGAAGGCTCAAAAGGGAGACCTTCGTCGCGCAGCTTGAGCGCATTGTTCAGAGTTCAGGGCCCCGGTGTAGAACATTCAGAGTTGCAGGGTTCGCGCCGTCGGGTCTAAACCGCGAAGCTCTAAGACTTCTCGAGAGCTTCTCCAGCGTTTATGATAGGCCAAAAAAAGCGGACAGGCGGACTACAGCATCCGAAAAGTCATCAGTGTCGTTCTTCTAACAGCCCAGGGGCTTGAACTTTGGCCTCTAGGGTGCACCCTGAGCTTTGAAAGGTTCTGGGTCCAGCCTGTTCTGGGTTGAGCCTACAGCAATTCTGAGCATACCGCGGTGTCTTTCAGCATCTTGAAACCGCTGCTTCTCCGTTCTTGGGGGCTCCTTGTGTTGCGCAGACTCGAGTTCCTGTTGGCTTTGGGGTTAATGAGGCTTTAGGGACAATGTGGGCTTTGTACTCGTATGTTTTGAATTTTGAAGCTTCCAGATGCCCCGCCGCCGAGGTCATGGGACCAAAGTGTCTTGCAAATCGCGGAGCTGCCAGGATCTCGGATCGACAGCCAACGATTTTTTGCCCTGATACGTGCACGGATCCATCAAAGATGCCGGAATAAACTAGCATTTTCTATCTTTGTTGCGGATAAGCAACACTGCTGGCACAAGCTATTCTTTATCCCCCCAAGTCGCAGGTGAACACCAGACTATAGGTATGGGAATTTATGGGAACACCAAAAATACAGTCTGGACTGCCTCTGAAGCCTCAACATGAGACTACATTACATGCCAGCCACCACTGAACCTTCATAGCAAGAAGCCCAGCTACCTTTGCAGTGATTGCGCTATGGGCCATGGGCACGAAAAGGAATTGGGAGTAAGGAACCAGTCGCCACGATGAGGCAACTGGTTTCCAGGGTCCTAGCGTTACGAATTTCGGCTTGGATTTCCCGAGATGGAGTGCCCAACCTTGAACTCCTGAACCACAAAGCCCACGCACTGCACAGCCCAAACCGCCAAGCCGAATACCCTTAGCTGTGACCAAGATCATGAGATCATGGGGGCCCTTGAGGCCCTGAATCCTCTGACCCGAAGCCCAACATCCTGAAACTCTGGGCCCAAAACCCCGTAGTTCCCACACCCAGGACCCTGAAGCCCTTACCCACACAACCCAAAAGCCTGAACCCTCCAAACCCTACAGGCCTGGCCGGGGCAGGGGGTGGGTGGCAAAGCAGGAGGCTGGGTGTCCGAAGGTTTTGGGATTTTAGGGTTTAGGCCCTTGGCCGGTCTCGCATCACAGTCATGAGTACTGTCTTGTGGGTGAAGCTGGGCAGTCAGGGCAGCAGTCGAGTCCCTTGTGAAAAGGGTTTAGGGCCTTTAGCGGAAGATTGGGGATGAGGGTTTTGGTAGGGAAGCCAAGGCTTTGGGACCTGAGGTTTGAGGGTTCCGGGGTTAGGGTTTTCTGGCTTTGAGACTACGATTCCATGCGTATTCTTTTGTCGGTCCCGGAACAAGGCCCTAGTCTGGAAGAGCCGCCATCTGAAAGATGTTACTGCGGCTGATTGAGAGGCCCAGTCTCCCAAGATATGGTTCAAAGCAAGCAAAACCTTGACGAAGGTATATGTGCCGCAGCTAAAGCCTACCTAAACACATGAGCTGCGACTCTGGTCCCTAAACACAGGCGAGATCCCTCTCCTCGGACTCGGATACACTGTCGCTTTCGTGTCGATCGTGTCGATTCCGCAGGTGAGGAAATCCTTTTAAAACCGTCCTGACCAAATTATTCGCTAATTATGATAATCCATGTAATGCGCTGATGGCATGCGCAATAGGTACCCCCTTTGATGTATGCTGTGCCACTCAGAGGCCTCGCCATGCCCGCCAAGGTGAGATAGTCGAAACATACATCCTTTGAAGACAGACAGTGACCGATAAGTCTCTGACCTAGGCCATTAAGACCCGAAAGGAAAAACAAAACAGACCCCAACCCCCATAACCCAAACCCTTGCTCTGTAACCCTAATCCCTAAACCTTAAACCTAAGCAGGTTCACAAGGGGGAGGTACTGGTCTCGGTGCCCCGGGAAGCCACGATCGAGGTGGGGGCTGGTCAGGACTAACGTATGAAGTGTCGTTTAGGGTTTAGGGGTTTAGGGTTTAGGAGTTTAGGCT